CTCCCCCCTCTGAAGCATACAACGCGGCTTTTAGAGGGGGAGGGGAGCAAATAATAATATTGTAATAGGATTTTTTAATAGGATCCCCCTACGGGATGACTGTATGACACTTCAGCACATGGTAAGCTAGCTAAATAAAAAGTACAGAAAAACAAAAAATGTGAGCGAGGAAAATGTGCTAAAGTATGTTCATTGCATCTTAATACATTTCCTACTAAACATATCTTAGTGAATATTCCAGAAAAATAAAAAATAAAAATCAATCAATAAATGATTGAAAATATGTATTTTTCACAGAGACAGAACTCCCCCTCTGAAGCATACAGCGCGGCTTTTGAGAGGAAAAGGTGAGTACCAAAATAAAACACAACGGAGCTTCCGGGAATTTCAAAATAAAACATCAAAATAATAAAATTAACACACAATTTCTTTTTAAAATAAAATACAATCAGGAATTGTAAACAAAAAACCTAAAGTGCATTTCAATATCCGATACATGTATCTCCCTGTGCAACCACCAGAGTAGAATTATTTTTTTTTACAAATTAAAACAATCTGTTGTTGTCTCCTTAGGCAAGTCCCTTCACCTACATTGCCCTGACAGTCTGCTTGTGTGTGTGAATGGATTGTGGTGGGAGGGGCTGATGGCATGAGCCAATGTTTGTGCCAGAAGTGCCTGATATTAGCATTCAAGGATATAAAAACAACTCCAGGTCTGTGACTGATGAGGAACAATGTTGGAACATGGAGTAAAGAGAGAAAAGGTAAATCTTGCATAATATGCATGTCCTGCCGGGATGAGACCCATTGTGTTCTGCAGGTTTAAAATAAATCCAACCAAGACCCCGGGAAAGACCCAGGACACATTATGTCTCTCAGCTGGCTTGGGAACGCCTCAGGATTCCCCCAGATGAGCTGTAGAAAGTGGATGAATGTCTTCTATGAAATGTCTTCTAAAGTACATTGCTTGCATCTAAACTTGAATTTGGAAAAGGCCATTCACAAAAGCTGTATGCCTATTTTAAAGGCAGAGATTCTTTCATCATTTTAGAACGTAGAGTTGTAAAAGTATGTGTTGTATGTATGCAAAGATCCACGGGGGTCACAGACTCTCACTACTGTATAAAGCTGACAGAACCACAATGTGTTTTCTTTGTAACATTTGCGTCTACATCACACTGGGCTGAAAGATCAAAGAGTAGACATTGCATCCGTGACCTTTAAGTTTGTGTAAGCACCGCTGCGCACCGAGAAAAGCTGCTGCGTCTTGTCGACCTTCTGCCTGTGTTTGTCTCCATCACTCACTGACCCCCGAGGTTAATCCGAGCCTCCATCAGTCCCTGTTACCCAGTCAGCTCACGCCTGAGAGTGCACAGATATAACAAGGTTCACTTTTCGCAGCCTCTTTGTTTCGTAGATTTCTTTCTGTTCAATTGTGCTTTTTTGAAGTGAGATTTTCATGGGCTGCATTTATACTCAAACATCTTATACGATATCATATAACCGCTGGTGTAACATGACAGTTACCTATAGTTGAAGTCAAAAGAATACTTTGGTGGCTCTCGTTGGTCTTTCTCTGGTCTCTCTCTCTGGTCTTTCTCTCTGGTCTTGCTCTGGTCTCTCTCTCTCTGTTCTTTCTGGTCTATCTCTCTGGTCTCAGTCTAGTCCCTGGTCTTATGGATCTTTTGGCTTCAGTCTTGTAATTTTAGACAGTCTATCTCTGGTCTCTCTCTGTTTTCTCCCCCTGGTCTCTCTGTTTTCTCCCCCTGGTCTCTCTGTCTCTCTGTTTTCTCTCTGGTTCTCTGTTTTCTCCCTCTGGTCTCTCTGGCCTCTCTCTGTTTTCTCCCTCTGGTCTCTCTGGCCTTTCTCTCTGTTTTCTCCCTCTGGTCTCTCTGGCCTCTCTCTGTTTTCTCCCTCTGGTCTCTCTCTGTTTTCTCTCTTGTCTCTCTGGTCTCTCTCAGCTTTCTCTCTGTTTTCTCTCTCTGTTTTCTCTCTTGTCTCTCTGTTTTCTTTCTTGTCTCTCTGGTCTCTCTCAGCTTTCTCTCTGTTTTCCCTCTCTGGTCTCTCTGGCCTTTCTCTCTGTTTTCTCTCTCTGGTCTCTCTCTGTTTTCTCCCTCTGGTCTCTCTCTGTTTTCTCCCTCTGGTCTCTCTGGCCTTTCTCTCTGTTTTCTCTCTCTGGTCTCTCTGGCCTTTCTCTCTGTTTTCTCTCTCTGGTCTCTCTGGCCTTTCTCTCTGTTTTCTCTCTCTGGTCTCTCTCTGTTTTCTCCCTCTGGTCTCTCTCAGCTTTCTCTCTGTTTTCTCCCTCTGGTCTCTCTCAGCTTTCTCTCTGTTTTCTCCCTCTGGTCTCTCTCAGCTTTCTCTCTGTTTTCTCTCTGGTCTCTCTCTGGTTTGATATATCTGTGTATGTGAGCCTTTCCTGGGACAGTCTATCACCTCAGTCCGTCTGTCACCTCCTCTCACCTCCTCACTCCTCCTCGCAGCTTGTGTAAATGAACATGCTAAAGCTGTCAGGGCACACAGGGACACTTCACTCTCAAACCTTCACTGTATTTTAATTAGCACAGAAAGAAGCCCTTGCTACATCTATTTAAATAAAGATTCTAGTGTAGATTCAAATTTGTGGGTAACGAGGGTCTGCTCATTGCCCACTACCGACACTGTTACCCAGAGCTGTACGTTTGAAATTCTTTGAGGAGAAATCGTCAAGTATAAATTGTTCAGTATTTGGTTTGTATTTTAGAATTCTGCTTGATTTTTACCTCACCGTTATGTCATTAAATGTCCGTAAGAATCTGCATCGACTGCATTTTGGCCTGGACTTTTACACAGAGCTCTCAGTGAGGCTCCGTAAACCCAAACATTCAACATTGTAGGTCTCCGAGGTTTATCACTATCAGTATGTACCGTATGAAATGATTGGAATTGTGTTTTGACAATCTGTGATTTCCACTCACCGTATGTCTTTTCCCATATCACCTCTTCCTCTGCTGCTCTTGGTTCATTTGTCTGCGTCTGTCGGGAAGTGTTCCATCACGCCGAGTCTGACCTCCTTTCCGATCCGTCCAGGGAAAAACAAATACATGTTACAAATTTAATGTGCCATATGTTTGGGGAAACATTGGAGTACTTCTGCTCTGCTCCGCTCTGACCTACAAGGGGCACATTTCGTCTCTGTTGCCCCTGAACATAAAAACTGCTGCAGAGTTTGGAGTTGTTTCTGCTCGAGGTTTCTCCAAAAGAACAGTTTCATAGAAAGAGTTGTATATATGCTGCTACAGTATCGGACACAAACAAACCGTCCTATGACGTAAGACAACCTTTTTTTGTCCCGCAGTGGGGAAATTTCAATGTTGCAGTGCACATACAGGACAGTAGTAAGCGCACACAAAATATAGCTGCTAATAAAAAGCCCATACAATTCTTAGCTAGCTGTAAATGCTTCAATATCAGTATCTATCTGTCTGTCTGTGTCTCTCTGTCTCTCTCTCTCTCTATCTATCTATCTATATCTCTATCTCTCTATCTGTCTCTCTCTATCTATCTCTCTATATCTCTATCTCTATCTGTCTATATCTATCTGTCTGTCTCTCTCTCTCTCTCTCTCTATCTATATCTCTCTATCTATATCTATCTATCTATCTCTATCTCTCTATCTGTCTCTCTATCTATCTCTATCTCTCTATCTGTCTCTCTATCTATCTCTCTATATCTATCAATCTATCTATCTCTATCTATATCTATCTCTCTATATCTATCTCTCTGTCTCTCTCTCTCTCTCTATCTATCCATCTATATCTATCTCTCTATCTCTCTATATCTATATATCTATCTCTCTATCTGTCTCTCTCTTTCTATCTCTATCTCTATATTTATCTCTCTATCTATCTTTCTATCTAACTATCTAGCTATCTATATCTATAGCTATCTCTCTATCTCTATTTATCTCTCTATCCATCTCTCTATCTCTCTATCTATATCTATCTCTTTATCTATCTATCTATCTCTCTATCTCTATCTATCTATCTATCAAAGTTATATACATGTGGGGCAGGATAATAAGTAGATAAAGTGACATTCAGTCGATATTCTGAAATTGCAGTATTGCACATGGCTCATGGTAATCTTTTAAACTTCCTATACTATGATGAATTTCCTTAGATTAAGATTGATGTCAAGTAGAGGAAGTATTTTCTCCATTTGTTTTGGGACCCGCTGCATTTATGCCCCAGACTTACTCATCGAGACCGAGAGGATACTCAACCTCAAGTTTCCTCCCAGAAGAAAGGATGAACGTAGCAAGATCTGAAAATCCTGTTGTGTGTAGCCATTTTAACAATGTTGTGTTTGTGTGTGTGTGTTTGTATTTGTTTGTTTGTTTATGTGGATGCGTGTGTGTGTGTGTGTGTGTGTGAATGCATGTGTGTTTGTATGCTTGTGTTTGTGTGTGTGTGTGTGAATGCATGTGTGTTTGTATGCTTGTGTGTGTGTGTGTGTGTGTGTGAATGCATGTGTGTTTGTATGCTTGTGTTTGTGTGTATGTGTGTGAATGCATGTGTGTTTGTATGCTTGTGTTTGTGTGTGTGTGTGTGTGTGTGTGTGAATGCATGTGTGTTTGTATGCTTGTGTTTGTGTGTGTGTGTGTGTGAATGCATGTGTGTTTGTATGCTTGTGTTTGTGTGTGTGTGTGTGAATGCATGTGTGTTTGTATGCTTGTGTTTGTGTGTGTGTGTGTGAATGCATGTGTGTTTGTTTGCTTGTGTTTGTGTGTGTGTGTGTGTGTGTGTGAATGCATGTGTGTTTGTATGCTTGTGTTTGTGTGTGTGTGTGTGAATGCATGTGTGTTTGTATGCTTGTGTTTGTGTGTGTGTGTGTGTGAATGCATGTGTGTTTGTATGCGTGTGTTTGTGTGTGTGTGTGTGTGTGAATGCATGTGTGTTTGTATGCTTGTGTGTGTGTGTGTGTGTGTGTGTGTGAATGCGTGTCTGTGTGTATCTGCACAGTGTGATCACAAATCCGGAGGAGTGGCAGTACTTCAGGTCTTTGAAGTCTGATTCCAGTCCTGTGGAGAAGAACATGTTCCACCTGCAGCCAGGAGCCTTGGGGCCCCAGATTTATCTGAGGCCCCTGGAGAACCTGCACATCCCCTTTAAGTACCAGAGCTTTGAGTGTGACCACAACTGCAGTACTCACGTAAGCACCGCATACTCCTGCTGCTACTGCTACTACTACTACTACTACTACAACTAATACTGCTACTGCTACTACTGCTGTTGCTACTACTGTTACTGCTGCTACTACTACTACTACAACTACTACTGCTACTGCTACTACTGCTGTTGTTGCTGCTACTGCTACTGCTGCTACTGCTGTTACTTCTACTACTTCTACTACTACTTCTGCTGCGTGTACTACTGTTACTGCTGCTAGTACTGTTGCTGCCACTAGTACTGCTGCTGCTGCTACTACTGCCACTACTGCTACTACCACTGCTACTGCCACTGCTACTACTCTTACTGCTACTACTACTGCTACTGCTACTACTACTGCTACTGCTACTGCTCTTACTGCTACTACTACTGCTACTGCTACTGCTCTTACTGCTACTAGTACTGCTACAGCTACTACTAGAGCTGCTGTTACTACTTCTATTACTGCTGCTACTAATGTTACTCCTACTACTGCTACTTGCTTCTACTACTTAAGATAGATGCTACTGCTGCTGCTGCTACTGCTCCTGCTGTTACTGCTGCCATATGTGTGATGCATGAAGTGAGTCTTGTTTCTCGCCTGCTCGGACTCAAAGGGAATGACCGTAACAAAAGCACACATTTGTATTCCATGTTTTCTGCTGCTGTCTCTTATCTCTCCGTCAGTTACAGATGTGTCTTTGGGTTAGGGTTAGGGTTAGGGTTAGGGTTAGGGTTAACCACCCTAACCCTAACCCTAACCCTTCTTGATCATACTTATGTTTCGTTATCACCCGTCCCAGGGCCCGAGCGTCGCACCTTCAGGCGGGGGCTCCCAGCTGGTCCAGAGGAACCGGGCCCATGTGGCTGTTTCGAGAACCATCAAGGTACTTCTGCGTTTCGGCGTTTGATGTTTCCTCGTACACTTTTGAGTCCTCCTTCCCGCTGAGCCTGTCTCCGGGCTGGAATTACACTAAGCTATGCATCTGGGTCACATTCAAATGCAAATGGATGTATATAAGCATTTATTTGTCTTCATTCAAAAGTATAGGCTCCCCATATGAGGCTTTGATGGAATGCAGAGAGGCAGAGGTCTACTTTACATAATGTGCGTGGCTGGCCATCACTTCTGTTGCTCTCTTCTGAAAGTGTACTGTATGTTCCCTCTCATGCCGCATTTAGACCCGCGTCACTTGCTTGCAGTATGGACTTTTCTCACATTTCCGTTCACAGGATGAGAAATGCATGGATTGGAATCATTTCTGGTAATTAAATGTGACGTACCGTAACTTGCCAAGTAGACAGTTCACAGCTTTGACCAGTGGTTACGGTGGTCTCTCGCTGAAAAGAGGTTCACCTGAAAGTTGCCTTTATTTAAGAACTTTTGTGACTTTGTGTGCACTGCAGTGATTAGAGGACTCTCTCTGGTCTCTCCTTTTCTGGTGTCTCTCTGGTCTCTCTCCAGGCTCTTTCGGGTGTTTCCCTGGTGTCTCTCATTGGTCTCTCCTTCTGGTCTCTCTCTGGTCTCTCTCTGGTCTCTCCTTCAGGTCTCTCTCTGGCCTCTCTCTGGTCTCTCTCTGGTCTCTCTCTGGTCTCTCTATGGTCTCTCTCTCTGGTCTCTTTCTCTCTGGTCTCTTTCTCTCTGGTCTCTCTTTCTCTGGTCTCTCCTTCTGGTCTCTCTCTGGCCTCTCTCTGGTCTTTCCTTCTGGTCTTTCTTGTAGCCTCACTCCTGCTCCTGTCCGTTCGTGTAGTGTTCTCTGTAGCTGTATTTTAGTGTATACACGGTTTTTTACAGCTGCAGCAGCGCTCAGACCTATAACCAACCAGTTTGATATCTCTCTGATCTCACTTTTCATCAGATGTGAGTTCAGGTGGTTAGAAAAGTGTGTAAAATCTGTGGTGAGAGGCTTTTCAGCCTAAAACGAGAAAGGGAGAGATACTTCAATAGTTGTTATTAGAATATGATAAACCAGGCACCAGTTTACAGTGTATTGCACTGATGAGTGTCCTGCACCAACTCAGCAGTGTTTAGTACAAGGCCGTAGTGGGTACCGTGGGGACATGTCCCCACCAATATTTTGGAAGGACTAAAATGTCCTCTCCAAATATACGATGATGTCCAGGCTCAATCCACCGTCTCCAGTTTGTTCATACGCCACCGCGCCTCCTCCTCGCTTCCAGAGCAGCAGCAGACCGTGACATGAGAAGCTCATACGTGCACTTGTTGGTAACATAGTGAGGCACCAAAATCTATAAGTAGCAAGCTACAGTTTACCTTCTTAAAGTAAAGTCCGAGTGCGACCACTTTCTGAAAAGCAGTGAAGCCATGTAGCCAGTGGGAAACGTGTTATATATTTTCTCTGTGCCAAAAATTTGAGTAGATAAGAGAAAAGTATGTCAAGGTTTCCGCCAGAAGATTATTTATGAGGGAACCAAATGTTTACACTTGCTTATGGCCCAGTGGTTAGGGTTGAATGTCTGCAGTTTTGTGGCTGGAGTTTATTTCCCGGTCAGTGAGTGAATGTTTTAAAAAAAATTATATGTGTCCCCATTAAAGCTGATACCAAACCTACGCCATTGGTTTATTGTACAGTCTGACAGCAGCAGACGAAAACCTCATTGACCTGTTCCTATGCTCTCCGGCGCCCTTCGCAGGTGACCTTCAGCACAGAGGATTCAAAGCCCCTTTCCATTCTGCAACTGAACATCCAGGTCACTCCCCCCATAGTGGACCAGAGCTTCAGGCTCTACCACCCCGAGCAGAGCTTCCTGAAGAAGGCCATCCGCCTGCCGACCTGGGACCCGCCTCCAGGTACCAGATCAGAAGGATGTAAAGTTAACAAATTAATTCAAACAAAATGAAGGCCCTATAAATGGATTCAAATGTCTTGGTCAAATTGGTACCAGGAACCTTTATTATTTCATGATTCAACTTCTGGCACCGACAGTGATCCTCGACCCAAAACATTCACAAATATGATACAATCAGAGAAAGATGATTATGGTATAAGAATCACAACAGCAGTCTTTTCAGAGGACTTTACAAAGGATTCCTTACCAACAGATCAGCAAAAAGAACAGTTAAAACAGAGGAAATATAGTAATATAATATAATAATAATAACTATCACGCACATAGGAGCCATTGGTCTATAGCAGTGTCTCCCAAAGTGGGGTCCGCGGCCCCCTGGTGGGCCGCGAGGGTACTGCAGGGGGGCCGCGGGAGGTCATAAAAAAAAATATATATATATATAATTATTTAATGTTAAATTTATAATGTTTTGTTTGTAATATTAAAATATTTGTGTTCATTATTTGACTTGAATAATCCACTGTAATCATTTTTGTATTACAATGTTTGTAGCAGAGGCTATTTCCCCAAAATAAAATAACCAGAAGAGCCTATTCTTAATGTTGTCTTCTTGGTTATTATTTTGGGGGGCCACGCAGACCCGTCAGATTTTTAAGGGGGCCTCGGTGTTACTGAGTTTGGGAATGGCTGGTCTATAGGGAGCGGGATGACCACTGTCCAGAAAAAAATGGTCAGAAATGTCCCTGATCATCACTGTCCTTAGACCCTCCTGCAAGGAACAGTTTAGATAGTTTTTATTTCCATATTTATTATTCTAGAATTTGAAATGACACAGGAAAAATGTAACATGACAAAGGAATCTACAAGTATTTCTAAACTACAATGTTCTTTATTGTCAGGTGGCGATTTAGAAGTGACAGTCCGCTGCAGTGACCGTGACGTCGTCTGTCAGAGCTGGAAGATGGTGAGGTTTGCCATGACGCAGAGGTTTCTTCACGTCTGTGTTGTGGGTGATCAAATCTCCAGCAAGAAAGACAATGATTCAAAGAGTTAAAATCCACAATGTTTATTTATTTTTTATTTACCTGTTCTTCTACTCGGACTCTTGCCAGATCCTTGTAGATCTCTGAGCTTCACACAAGAGTCTGGGATCTCTCAATAGTGTTCAGAATGTGGTTCAGAAGGCGGGGCCTTGTAATTCAATCAGTGTATGTGATTGGATAAACCACTTGTCTGTTATCTTAAATGATGTGCTACTTCAACCACTCACATCGAAGCACACAACTCAGCACACTGCAGCAGTTACTCAAACCAAACTTTACACAAACATTTTGCTCTTAAAACCCACATATCACAACATGGAACCATACAACATCTCGCCTCAAATTGCATTTAATGTGACATCCGTGTCTAAATTGGTTAGTTTTTAAACAATTCACTGACTTTATGTCGGCCATCTTGGTTTGCTTTGGCTGCCGTGAGACGCGCATGCGCAGGTTTGCATTTCATCGTAATGCAAACCTGCAACCTGCAAACCTGTCAGGAGAGACGTTACACCGGCAATCCCCAATGTTTCATTATTTTTTGCTAACTTGAAAGAGTTTTTATTGCCCTTGATTGCCCGTTTGGGAAGCGCACTGCTAGCTTCACTGAATAAAACACATTTACTGGTTAAATATACATGTGTATATTCAAGGACAGATAAGATTGTATTAATTTAATGTGTTTTCACAGAGCATATGCCTGTACATACTCACGTCTCCATGGGCCTCAGCAGCACTTCTACCCTCAATCTCCATGGGCCTGTTCCATGGGGATGTGTGCTGCTATGTGTGAGTGTTGTTAATGTGATGCCGTGTGCTGTTGTGTGCAGATGCCTGGGGAGCCTCAGGACGTTTATGTGAAAGTCCCCGGCAGCCCCAGCCCACACGTCCGCATGTTCTTCATCTTGGTCTACACGTATGTACTGCACCGCATTATGACCACAACATCACAGATAGAGAGAGAGGCCAGAGAGAGAGAGACCCAAGGGAGATCAGAGAGAGAGACCAGAGAGAGAGGCCAGAGAGAGAGAGACCCAAGGGAGACCAGAGAGAGAGACCAGAGAGAGAGGCCAGAGAGAGAGAGACCCAAGGGAGACCAGAGAGAGAGACCAGAGAGCAATGGTGTGGGTTTAGTTTCAGCTTTGAGGACACAAATTTAAATTGAGAATTGAACCCTGGGCGCCTAACCTCTCCTAACCATTAGACCACCAGTGAGCACTGAAAATGAGCGCCAAGATGCTTAGGATCCCCCACACAAATAATCTGCTGGTGGAAACTCTGTAATAAGTATTTTTTCGGCCTCCATGAAAGTGTTTATGTTCTGTCTCTGTGTGGGTGCAGCCTGAGCTTTCCAGTCCAGTGGAGATTAGAACATACGTTCTAATACGTTCTAACATACGTTCTAATACGTTCTAACATACGTTCTAACATACGTTCTAACATACGTTCTAACATACGTTCTAATCTTGATAGATCCACAATTTTTTTTTTGTACACTGGCTACATGGCATTAATAATCGCTTTTCAGAAAGTGATGCCAGTAGCGCTACTTGTCGAGTTTGGCGCCTCGCTATTTTATCAACAACTGCAGACAGATGAGCGGGTGACGTGCTGCTGCTGCTCTAGAGGGGCGAGGAGTAGGCGTGGCGTACTGATAAACTGGAGACAATGGATTTGGTACCGGACATCATTGTGTATTTGGTGCAAATATTTTGGTCCTCCAAAAATATGCAAACCAACGCCCTCACCAGAGAGGGAGAGAGAAAGAGAGACTATCATTGGCTTTAGGAGTTTGCCGCTTTGCATAAAGACAGGTTTATTGTCAATATGATTATTTCTGCACTGATAGTAGTTGTGTTTACATGTGCAGACCTCCAGTGATGTGACCAGACAAAAGAGAGCAAAGAGAATCAATTACATTACTGCAGATTTGTTTGTATATTTGAAGCTGCTGTATCTGTCTGTCTGTCTGTCAGCGTCTCCCCATGAACTCCCTGATTTTGGGAAGTTGGAAGAAAATTAGATATCTCTAAGTTTCCAAGATCAAATGAAAGTAGAGTCTGTAGCTGCCAACCTCCATTTTGTTGATAGGCAGAATAGAACTGACCATCAAAATCACAGCTGTCCAGGTGTCATGAGTCAATCTATCTCAATCTTCTTTGGGCAGGACAAAGGTGCGCAGGTCAGACAAAAACCTTGCTTTATTAATTATTATTCATTGTCTGTAATTAACACATAATCTAACCACCGCAACAATGTGGTACATTCATTCTGTCAAAATCCAAACAACATACATGGCCTCATTTATTAATTTAAGGGCTGAACTGCGGCCACAAAGTCAAATATGGTTTGCAATTGTAGTGGTTTAGTTCTAGGAGCAGAATATGAGGATAAATCTGGATTGGGTATTACTAGCTTATTGCTGTCCAACCCACGGTCACAGGGGGCACTTGCGGTACTGCAGACTAAATTCCTGTGGCCTACCCAGAAAAATGTCACATAGAACTCAATGTAAACTGAAACAGTTCAACCTCAGCTGACAGAGAACCTACAGATAATATAAAGGTCGGGTTTTCTATAAATCAACTCTGCTTGTCAGAGCTGAGCTAGAGCGGGAGTTAGAGCGGGTGCCAAACGAGCAGAGTTTGTGGCACTAAAGTGTGGATTTAAAGGTCCTATATCACGCTTTTCTTCATGTTTCACACTCAATCCTATGCACATGTGTGATATTAATGTGTATGATACACCACACAACAATCAAAGCTTGTGAGATTAAAGCCATCTCTTGTATAGAGGTGACGTCACCTCGACTCAAACGAGCTGATCCAGAAGAGTCTGCTCCTCTGCCTGTGAGCCCGCCTCCCCCCGCCCGCACGCTGACGTAGCATCACGCTTTTGTCGTTTATCACCTGTACTTAGTAATTTCATACATAAGAATAAACTTTTTCCAACAATGACAATCTGTCACATCGAGCCCTATGTCCTCGATGCACAATCAGACCCTAGTTATTTAGTTTACAGAAGTATACAGCGAGTTAGCGTCACTACTTACAGATCGAGGGGGTCCGAGTTACGTCTTTTACCGTGGGAATAACGTGTTTCCAGATCATCTTTTGAGTAAGTCCAGTTCCATTGTCCCTGTAGTTCTGGAACAGTCTCAGTGAAGTGTTGCAGATGAACCGGTATTATAATAGATCCATGAGGTGAACAGATGAAAAAAGTCGAGCCGCTTTCTTCCTCTTAGGGCCAAATAGTGTGTCACATATTTACACCCATAACACACTTCATTCAAGTTGACGTGATCCTAACACTTTTAGTTGCTGACAAAAGCATAAAAACAGCAGCTCTATGTGGTGTCCGCGAGACCAGACCACAGACGCTGGACTCCGGAGCCGGAGCCTGTGCGCTCTGATTCGCTGTTTTGATCCGTCAATCACCTCCCGCCGGCTTTTAATTTATTTTTATTTTTATTATGTTGAAAAAACAGCATACTAATTGTGTATTGTTTACCCCGTTTTGACAAAAGTATTTAACAACTATTTTAAATACAAAGCAAACGGGGTCATGCGCGTCATCAGTGTGGTTTTCGTCACTGAAGTGGACCCGAGCGTTTCTGTGCCTCACGCTGGGGAAGGAGACAGATTGCTCTCTTACAAAAGATTGACAGAATCAATGAATAAACTACTGTGGGCTTGTGTATGAAGGCCAAATAGCATTGTAATCATGTTTAAAGCAGAGAAAAGTCAAAAACCGTGATATGGGCCCTTTAAAGAAAACCGAAGGATTTAAGAAGAAAAAAAGTCCAGGATGACAAGGGACACTAAAATCCCCACACAATCTGATCTTTATGAAAGCTGTAAGTTTTCTGTCAGCTGAGGTCGAGTTGTTTTAGTTTACATTGAGTTCTATGGGGAATATTTCTGGGTAGACCACGTGAAATTAGTCTTAGTCTTGTTTAGTCTGTGGTACTCCGAGAATCCCTCGAGCACATGGGTCCTTTAGCTCCAAGCTAGTAATACCCTATCCAGTTATTATTATAGATCCATGGTAGAACTGACTGGGGACACAACATTTCTCTGCTTCCTGTCGCTGACACAGGGACCGATGGAAGGCAGCGCCCTCTCAGGTCTGGCAGGTGTATGTGCACTTCCTGGAGCGTGTGGACATAAGCGCTGTGAGTGGTCAGAGGAGCTGTCAATCACTGGTGCTGCGAGGGAAGCACACAACCAGGAAGCTGCGCTGCTTTAGCTCCCACCCCCAGGACCTCAAGGTACACACACAGATTCATCGACACACACACGCACAAACCAGCTCACGCAAACAAACACCCGCGCACACACAGTTACCAGCTCACACACACGCGCACACACACACGTACCACCCCATACACACACACACGTACCAGCTTATGCATACACACGACTGCCACCTCATGAACACACACGTACCAGCTCATGCACACACACAAACATCCACGCACACACAGTTACCAGCTCACACACACACACATACTCACACACGCACATGCACACACACACACACTGACTCACTCACTGGCTCACGTATTCACACACAGAATGACGCATACCGTTGCAGTAAATGTTAATATTTATTATTGGTGTAATGTATCCGAGTAAGTAATGGGAGAGGAACAGAAGAGAACACGAGGAAGTGATTCTCAGGCGTAAAACGAGCGACTGGTGTGAAGTGAAGGCTCTCAAAAGTATGCATGTTGACTGTTACTTTACTTTAGACTATTGTATGATGTATCACCAAAATTATTATCACACGTGTGCTTAGGATGGACTGTGAAGAATGAAGAAGGGCAAAATATGGGACCTCTAAGTGACACTGAACACTGCAGAATAGCTGTTTTCACATTTGCAGAAGTCGGTCTTAAAATGACATGTTGTTTGGTCTCGAGCACATGAGCACGGGGAGTCTGCACGTGGCTTCACAGCAGCAGCTCAGTGGAGAAATGGGATTTCCTGAAATCCTTGGCAAACACGCTCAAATTACAAACCCAAAATAAATATATGAAAATGCTGTGTCACTTTTGGGAAATGCCAGTATTGTAGTGTATGTATGGGACAATAAGAGCACACACCATATGACGGAAGTAGCTGTAAATCCTTCTAAAATGTGGCTTTAGGGCCCGAGGTATAGACCTGTGATACACTAGGAGACTCTTCGTCGCCTGCCACTGTCGTCAGTATGTTGTGTGTTTATTATGTAGGAGTCTGAGGACGCCTTTTGGAGACAGGCGGACAGTAGACAGGAGGTGGAGCTAAAACATAATTCCTGAAAAGGGTCAATAAATGATTATTCATAACATAAACATGTTATGCTGTATAATGAAAACATAAACTGTTTTCACGTCTGTAACAGCTTCTCACCATGTTACAGACGTTTAAGAGCAATTCAGTCAATGCAAACAGAAAATAATATCTAAACTCATTACTGGTCCCTGGTTTATCAAAGGGGTTACATTCTTTAGATAACGCACACTAAATATAATCTCTGATGTTGCAGCTCTGTGTTTAAAGGCTTCCCCTCCCCACATGTTTCTGACTACCTTAACTCATGTGTGCAGAAGTGCAAATTGCGGAGATATCAAGCTCCTTGGTTGTAGGTCTGAGCGCTGCTGCAGCTGTCGAAAGCCATGCATACACTGTACATTACAGCTGCAGAGGACACCCTGCTGAGGAGCAGAACTGAGGACTACAGGAGAGGCCAGAGAGAGAGATAGACCAGAGAGATAGACCAGAGAGATAGACCAGAGATAGACTAGAGAGAGACCAGAGAGAGAGACCAGAGAGATAGACCAGAGATAGACTAGAGAGAGACCAGAGAGAGAGACCAGAGAGAGAGACCAGAGAGAGAAAAGAGAGAAACCAGAGAGAGCCACAAACATATTCTTTGGACTTCAAATAAAGATAACTGTCATGTTATACTAGCGGTTATATGATAATATATACAATAACTCCATTTGTACCTGTGGACTGTCTTCCACAGCCCAGACTCGTGGGCTGCTCTCCCTCCCCTCCTGGGAGTCGCCTCAGCAAAAGAACAAAAGACCACACTGGATAAAAACACAATTGCACACAAGAAAATATGCTGTTTCGCATATTCTGAATCTGTTATGGTGAGAGACCAGTGTTAAAAAGGATCTTCAGGAGGTAAAACAAATCTCCCCAGACACTAAACAAACTTTCCTCTAAGAAAATACGTTCTTACTTTATGTGTAGCTTTTATTTGGTATGTTATGTTATCTATACTCGAGTTCTGTGGTCACTCCACTATGTTCCACCCATGATCCAGGTCAGTTTCTGATGCTCTGGGCCTGAGGGAGTAGAATTGTTCTAGTATGGCCCACTGACAGATGGCGTGTTACCAAAACAAACTAGAAGAGAATTCATAGAATTGTAGATCTCCGCTCTGAGGGACAGTCTCATTCCTACATGCAGACAATTCTTCACTGGTTCCATTGCACATATTACCTGAAAATTTCATCCACATCGTTCCATAACTGTTTGAGTTGTGTTGCTCACAGACAAACCCTGGTGACCACTTTACCTCCTGGGCAGTGGTAAAAATGGCGGTCTTAGCAGTGACTTTGTTTGTCTCCAATGACCTGAGCTCAGTGACCATGTGTGCAGGTGGACCCTGGGGATGTGTTTGCCCTTCCCCCCGCCGCAGTGCAGGAGGTCCAGGTGAGCGTCCAGCCGTGGAGGGCAGGCAGACGCTTCTTCTACCTGAGCGGGGTGGACGTGGAGCAGCACCGTCTAGTCAGCAGCTGGCTCCTGTGCCTGACGGTGCACCAGCCCATCATCTCCAAGGTACCCCCGACCTGCACGCTGCTTTCAACCATCAGGGAAACACAGTGCCTTGATACAGCTTGAACATTTACACATTTTGTAAGATGTTTTTACTGAAAGTTCACACACACATAACAGACAACTATGAAGTGAAGGCAAAATGATTCATGATTCTGTTACACGTAATGTTTAGGGTAAATGTACTGCTGGAACGTAAATCTTCGCCCCAGCCTCAATTCTCTTGCAGGTTTTCCGCAAAAATGTCCCTGTATTTGACTTCATGCATCTTCCCAGCTATTCTTACAATCTTCCCAGTCCTTGTTGAAGAAAGGCAGCCCCATAGCGTGATGATTCCCCCACCATATCTGACACTGGGGATGGTGCACTCAGGACAATGAGCAGTTTGTTCCATACATCACGTTATTGCGTTTGGACTAGAAAGTTGATTTTCAACCCTAACCGTTACCCTAACCCACATGGTAGCTTTATTCGCCCTATGACTTCTGGTAATCTTCAATTCAATTTCATTAAAATCAATTAAATCTTCAAGCAGGATTGCTCGCGGCCTCCTGATCTGTTAGTTAAGGTGGACAGCCGTGTCTTGGTAAGTTTGCAATAGTGTCGTACTCTTTCCATTTCCGAATGGATTGAACAGTGCTCAGTTTTTTCAAGTCTTGAAAAATCTTAGTATAACTTAACACTGCTTTAAACTTCTCCACAACTTTATCCCTGAACTCTCTGGTGTGCCTTTTAGTGTCTGTTTAGTGACCAATACACTCTGGCCATAGCTCTGAGGCCCTCACAGAACATCTGCATTTATACTGAGAGTGGATTACACACAGGTCTCATATCTTCATATCTTCCTCCAAATGGCCGTAGCCTGGAGGACTCATGGTGCTTTCAGACCGAAAACGCTGAAACGCAGCAGCCCAGCTCACCAGATGCGCATTCTCTAGTTTTCAGACGCAGAGGCTTGCACACTGCCAAACAACACACGAACACAAGCACGCCCACCTCACTACACTGATACTGAAAAAACTTACCAGGGAGGTTGAGCTGCTGCGCAATGGCCTTCCATGCCGAATCTTTCTTAGCTCTGTCGCTATATTCCGGAATGCAGACTTTCCACAACTCTGGAAAGTTTGTAACAGCGACAATGAGACTGTCCACAGCTTGATCCTCCATGTTTAAATGACCGGTTCCTGGCTCCCAATGGGGAAAACATACGCCGTGTAGTGGCGTGATTACGTCAGTGGTGTGCGTGCTCTCTGATTGGTCGCTGCACGAACGTCTCGAGGAAAAGTTGAGCGGAATCCATCTCTTGTGGGCGTTCATTTTCCGCTCCTTCTCCTCCCCTTTGACTTTCCCGCCAAGTCCGTGCGTTTCTACTGGGCGGTCCGTGCGTGTGTGCCGAGAGGTCCGTGCAATGCGACGCTGAAACGCGCCTCCCCATTGACTTTGCATTGAACGCAGACGCAACGACTGTCCCGGTCTGAAAGCACCATCAAGGGGACAGGCGGGGGGGGGGTGAATGTTGGGCGGGTCTAGGCTGTGACAATAAAACAAGACAATAAAAACAATAGTGACAATACTCAATATTCAACAACAACGCTATTAACACTACACAATTATCAATAATACAAACAGCTATGTTAAAGCTGCACTAACTGACTTTGGGATTTTGAAGCCGAGGACTCGCTGGCCTCTCTCTTTCTGCTCCCCTCCCCGCACCCACGAAGCTATCGCCCCCACACACACCCACTGTTGGGACGAAGCTAGTGTCTCCCAATATGGATAATACACGAATATGGATTTGTACGTGGATGGCGTGACCATAGAACGATAGAACCGGGAAGAGCGGAGGAACGGGACTTTCTTTTGGATGGCTGTCTCGCTGTGTAAGCAGTAACCGGTGACGAAGACATGAAGCTTCAGGTTAGCTCCTCGGCTTGTTGTGCTAACTCAGCCGTCTATGCTAACGGACCTGTAGATTTCTTACGAAAGTGGGGGCTAGTGGTCCACTGTGATTGGTCACAATCCGCGACCCGAAACACATTCTCTTCCTTGTTTCATCAAAACTCGATCTAAAATATAATGTCACGCCAGCACAAATCTGCGCTACTTTTTCTTCAAAATGATGTATATCCCAATGCACTACATGGACATGGATAGCATTTTCGTAATGAATACAAAAATAAAGTCAGTTAGTGCAGCTTTAATAAAAACCTACCTAAATGCTATAACTAATCGCAAACCTGACAATCGATGAAAATACTCTCTGCTATTCTTTCCTTCCTTCGCTAGGGGGGCGTGAACGAGACTGGGCCGTTCACTGCAGACGTCAAGTATCACTGCTGTGCCAATGGTGGCGCCAGATTCAAAATTTAAATGTAGTAAACACAGGTCGCCAGCAGATGGCGCCTCACAGACGGTTTTAGGCAGAAAGTTGATCTTTCAACTAATTTGCACTAAAGTGACAAAATTATGAACAGGATATGTAGACAACACTATTGGACCCTCATTTATACTGTTTATCAGCCAAAAAAAAAAGTGGATTTGAGGCTGAGTTGTTCTTTAATCATTTGGGAAAGCTGTGAACATTCAGCAGGCATTAGAAATGTTTAAAGGCGATTTTATGCACCCTGAAATTTGTGCAGGTTCTAAACAAAACATTTGAACATAATAATAATAATAATAATAATAATACATCAGTTTTATATAGCGCTTTTCAAGAACTCAAAGACGCTTCACAGGTTCATGACACAAACACACACGTTTAGACAGAAACATCTGACAAAATGTACAAATGTTCAAGGTGTATTAGTACTTTCGGAGAGGCACTGCGGGCCACTGTGGCTGCAGGTTTTCATCCCCACCAAACAGGAGCACATGAGGAAATGGGTGGAGTCTGGTGTGCTCTTGCTTGATTGGAATGCAAACCTGCAGCCAGATGCACTATAATGTCATCCTGATTTATAGTGTGTATCTTTTTTACGGAGCTGTCTGTGATCATGTGTGTGTTGTGTGGCCCAGGCCTTTGAGCTGTGTATGCCTGTGGGAGAAGGTCGTGGCAGCTCCAGGAAAATCAGCTACACCAACCCCTACAGCGGCCCCCGGACGCTGCTGCTCCGCTCAGACCAGCCCCACCTGCTGCAGTTCAAAGAGGAGCGCTTCCAGGTCAGAACTACACCCCTACTACTTGTAGTTTACAAAAATGGTTGTTGACTTGTGGATTAATAAATACTGGGTGATCAGTGAACTACTACAGTAATCCTAGAACACAGGAAATGCTCACTCATGGTTCAACTCCCTTTCCCTTTCCTTCACCGAGCGGCTCTCTTGATCAGGTTTCTCCTCGATCTCGTGTCTTCTCTGTAACAAACCCCTCACTCTGAAGAACCATTAGCACGGTGCTTTATTGTCCCGTCCCTGCCGCCCTGGCTGTAATGATCCTTCAGTCAGCCGCTCGTCTGGGCCGATGGTGAGAGCGAGAGCAACTAATGGTACGCCTGCTAAACGAGCACCGCGATGGAGGAGCCGCTCGCACATAAACTATTTACGAGACCGCCATCGGTCATGGCGAGCGGCAGACAGGGCTGAGGGCTCTGAAACACAGCGTTTGTCTTCATCGAAGGCTTTTGCCTGGACATAGACAGAGATAGAGATGATAGAGGACTCTTTACTTTAACATTTCATCTTTTGGGGTGTGAAATAAAATACTTCACACTTCTACCACTAGAGGAAGGTGTTGACATGCTTTATTTATTTATTTTCAAACATCAAACAATGTGTACTGCATTCTCTGATTATTATCCTGGGGGATTTTAATAAGGGAAACTTGAGCCAGGAATTACCCAAATACAGACAGTTTATCAAATGCCCGACCAGAGAGGAGAACACTCTGGATCACTGTTACACCACCGTGCGCGGAGCTTTTCGCGCTGTTCCCAAGCCAGCCCTCGGCTTCTCAGATCACTCCATGATACATCTGGTTCCTGCTTACAGACAGAGACTAAAGCTCTCGAAACCTGCAGTGAGGAGCTCCAAAGTGTGGTCTGATGAAGCTGTGGAAGAGCTGCGCGCATGCATGGAATCTACAGACTGGGACCTTTTCAGAGCTGCCACAGACAGCTTGGATGAATATACGGACACTGTGACGTCATACATCCACTTCTGTGAGGATAGCATCATTCCAACAAGGACCAGGGTCATCTATAACAACGACAAACCCTGGTTCACTGCTAAACTCCGGCAGCTCAGGAAAGCAAAGGAGTCTGCTTTCAGGGAGGGGGACCGCAGCGGCTACAAAGCAGCTAAATATCAGTTCAGGAAAGAACTGAAAGCAGCCAAGTCCCGGCACAGAGAACGACTACAGGAGCAGTTTGGTAACAACGATACTGCTTCTGTCTGGAGGGGCCTACGGGAGATCACCAACTACAAACCCAAAGCCCCCCCCTGTGCTGATGACCACAAGCTAGCTGACGATCTGAACTTATTTTTCAGTCGCTTTGATGCTGCCCCTGACACCTCTCCCTCCCCCACCCCCCACTACTCTAACGACCCACCCATCAGCCCTGCCCCCAGCCTAACAATAGCCGCTAAAGAGATTAAACAACTCTTCCTGAGGCTGCACCCCCGCAAAGCTCCTGGCCCGGACCACGTGTCTCCGGCCACTCTGAGACACTGCGCCAGTGAGCTTACTCCTGTGTTCACGGACATTTTCAACTCCTCTCTGCAGTCCTGCCATGTCCCGGCCTGCTTCAAATCCTCCATCATTGTCCCCGTCCCGAAGAAGCCCAGGATCACAGGACTCAATGACTACAGACCTGTAGCACTTACGTCTGTCGTCATGAAGTCATTTGAACGCCTGGTTCTCTCCCATCTCAAGTCCCTCACCTCCCCCCTCCTGGACCCCCTGCAGTTCGCCTACAGAGCCAACAGATCTGTAGACGACGCCATTAACCTGGCCCTCCACCACATCCTACAGCACCTGGACTCCCCGGGGACCTACGCCAGGGTCCTGTTCGTGGACTTCAGCTCTGCCTTCAACACAATCCTGCCATCCCTGCTCCAGGACAAGCTCTCCCAGCTCAACGTGCCCGATTCCACCTGCAGGTGGATCACTGACTTCCTGACGGACAGGAAGCAGCGAGTGCGTCTGGGGAAGAATGTCTCGGACTCTCGGATTATAAATACAGGAGCCCCACAGGGCTGTGTTCTTTCTCCCCTGCTCTTCTCCCTGTACACCAACCACTGCACCTCCAGCCACGACTCCGTGAAGCTGATCAAGTTCGCGGACGACACCACCCTCATTGGACTCATCTCCAACAACGATGAGTCCGCCTACAGGAGGGAGGTGGACCGGCTGGTGTCCTGGTGCAGTGGTAACAACCTGGAGCTGAACGCCCAGAAGACAGTGGAGATGATTGTGGACTTCAGGAAGAGCACTGTCCCCCCGCCCCCACCCTCCGTGATGGACTCCCCCATCACCTCTGTGGAGTCCTTCCGTTTCCTGGGCACCACCATCACCCAGGACCTCAAGTGGGAGCCGACCATCAGCTCCCTCATCAAGAAGGCCCAGCAGAGGATGTACTTCCTGCGGCAGCTCAGGAAAGCCAAGCTGCCTGCACAGATGTTGGTGCAGTTCTACACGGCCATCATCGAGTCCATCCTCACCTCCTCCATCACCGTGTGGTTCGCTGGAGCCACAGTCAGGGACAAACAGAGACTACAGCGCATTGTGCGCTCTGCAGAGGAAGTGATCGGCCGCAGCCTTCCATCGCTGCAGGACCTGTACGTCGCCCGAGCTCGAGGCCGGGCTGGTCGTATCACAGCCGACCCCTCTCACCCTGCACATGGACTATTCCAACCACTCCCCTCAGGCAGGAGGCTGCGGTCCATCAGGACTAGAACCTCCCGCCACAAGAACAGTTTCTTCCCCTCTGCTGTTGGACTCTTGAACACTTCTTAACCTGTCCCCCCGCCCTTTATAAAGTCACTTTACTGCCCATCATACGTCACTTTACTTCACTGTACTGCTGTCACCTTACATTGTGTGCACCATGTGCACTTGTATATTGTAAATAGTAACTGTAACTCTATTTTAAATTTAAATTTATTCTTTAGAAGTGTTTTTTATTCTTATTTTTATTATCTCTTTTCGACTGTTGCACTGAGCCAAAGCAATTTCCAAGTCTGTGACCTCCCGTTACTTACGTTGGCAATAAAAATGATTCTGATTCTGATTCTGATTCTGCAATCACAGCCTGAGCATCATTTCACCTGAGCCCTGCTATTGTAAAAGCCGAGGCACAGAGGCCGTGTCCCTCTAAAGCCGGGTTAAGATAAGATAAGATAAAACTTTATTGATCTCACAATGGACAAATGTACATGTCACATTTTCCATAGATAGAATCATTCAGCGTGTGCAAACATGATAAAATATGGTTACTTTTGTGCAACATTTATTATGTACAATAAAAGTTAAAAGTGACTATAGCAGTTTTTCAGTCCTAGTGCTGGTCATTAAAGTGACTTATTGTACAGCCTGACAGCGGTGGGGATGAAGGCCCTGTGGTAGCGCTCCTTCTTGCACTGAGGGTGTCTCAGTCTTCCACTGAAGGAGCTCCTCCGCCCCTCTACATGGAGAGCATCACTACATCTGCTCAGGATATGCGGTGGTGTCCAGTACGAGCCTGGCCCTGACAGTCCTGGTGCCGACAGACCCTCCAGCAGAACGTGTGGGTGTCATCATGGAGAAAACCAACTCCTGGTGTATGTGGCACACTGTTCACTTTTAGAGCAGTGAAAAGGATCACAGCCAATTGAAAGCGAGGAGCCCTTTGAGCTCTTTCTCTCATTGGTTTGGACTAGGGTTTTATCCGGTGTAACGACGGTTTGCACTGCCTTGATGAGATCCACTGCCTCAGCTGTTTATGATGTAATGCAAACCTGCGCATCCGCCTCTCAGGGCAGCCGAAGCAAACCAAGATGGCGGACCGTGAATTGCTTTAAAAGTTAAAATACGAACGAATTAAGACACGAATGTCACTTTAAAGGCAATTTGAGGCGAGATGTTGATGTTGTCACATGTGGGTTTAAAGAGTCAAAGTTTTGTGTAAAGTTTAGTTTAAAGCTGCACTAACTGACTTTGGGATTTTGAAGCTGCAGACTCGCTGGCCTCTCTCTTTCTGCTCCCCTCCCCGCACCCTCGAAGCACATTCTCTTCCTTGTTTCATCAAAACTCAATCTAAAATATAATGTCACGCCAGCACAAATCTGCGCTACTTTGTCTTCAAAAGGACGTATATCCCAATGCACTGCATGGACATGGATAGCATTTTTGAAATGAATACAAAAATAAAGTCAGTTAGTGCAGCTTTAAGCAGTCAACTGCGCCTGTGAAACCACAATGCTAATGTTATGATAGCAGTCCGCGGCTGCTGACGTAGGCTGATGACGCGTCGTGTGGCAACTCTACAGCTTACAACTGGTCTGTCGGGTTGATAATGGAAATAATACATTTTATTTAATGCATGTATCGTACTGTAGTCAATATAATTAACAATAGTGTGTTCAAATGAAATATTTCATTAGATCGAGTTTTTCCCCATTTTCCATTATTAGTTGTAAGCTGTAGAGTTGCCACAGGACGCGTCATCAGCCTACGTCAGCAGCCGCGGACTGCTATCATAACATTAGCTTTGTGGTTTCACAGGCGCAGTAATTATTTATTTATTTGGTTTATTTGAGCAACATACAATACATTTATACAACAACAACAAAAGATATTACTGACTCTTAAACATAGATAAAAGAAATGTGTACTTAATTTTGTCAAATGATCTAACTTAAGCCGCAAACCATTTCATCCTAGGAGGGTGGTTGACAAATTACTGATAATAAACAGTCAGATTAATTATAATTCAAAAACCAATATAATTTCCCATCAGCACAACACCTCTGCACCAGTAAGATAAGGTAATATACGATAGACTTTATTGATCTCACACAAGATAAATGTTCATGTCACATCTGGCATGGATAGAATCACTTAAGATTGTGCAAAAGAAAGAAATGTGCAAACATTTTAAATGCAGGATATATTATGTGCAATAAAAAGTGACAATTCAAAAGTGGCAATCAAGAAACAGTGTCAATAGTGCAGGTTATTCAGTCCTAATGCAAGTGACTTAAAGTGACTTGTTGTACAGTCTGACAGCAGTAGGGATAAAGGCCCTGCGGTAGCGCTCCTTCTTACACTGAGGGTGCCTCAGTCTTCCACTGAAGGAGACTGAGACACCCAGTACAAAAAACAGTGCAACATTAGACACCAGTATTTTAGGAGCCGGTAGAGCGATGGTGATGCACACAGTCGTCAGAGCAGACTCGCCGATCATCACTGTCCCGCGTTGGGGGAGATTACCACAGAAGTCCTTTCCATTTGTCCATGTTTCAAAATACAAATACAGAGAATCAGCCAGGCTTTGAGTGAATGGGGAAAGTACAGATTGAGAAATATGAGCCCGTAAAGGTTTAGACGGGACCAGTCAGATCTGCAGAAGGGCGTGTCGCTCTGAACCAGGGCTGACATAACACAACACTTTTTGGATCCATTCAAGCAGGTTTGAGTCATTCATTCAAATCAATCCAATGTATTTGTGTACCTCGGCGGACGACTTTAAAGTAGCAATAAGTAAGATTTTCATGTCATCATTAAAGTGATTGTCTGCAGTTTGTCAGAAAGAGAGAGAGAGTACTTGATTTGAAAAAAAAAAACGACGCAAGCTCCTCCCCCTTCCTTTCTGATTGGTCTACGCCTACGTTTCCGTAACATTTTTAAATGTTAATCAGAGAACACATTGTACATATGCATTATTAATACACATGCACGGAGGTTTTCAAAATTATATGTTAGCGTTTTCATGAAAAAAATAATGTTTTTATGCACAAAAAAAGCGATCGCAGCAAACAAGCTATTATCATTAACTGAACATTATAGGACACATCTGCAGATGCAGTATATAAATGATTATGGATATAGGTTCAGTATATAAATGATTATGGATATAGGTTCAGTATATAAATGATTATGGATATAGGTTCAGTATATACATAAGTAACTCTGTTCAGAATTCTTTGTTCAGTTTTCATGTTGTTCCAGAGCCTAATAGAGGCTTGATTCAGAGGCTCCGCAAAAACAAACAACTGAGCATGCGCGCAGCTGCGAGCATCAGGGAAGGCGGGACTTACCCGTAATATTAGAATTAATAAAATGACTAATTTTATATCAACATTTAAGGCCAGGAGGTCAATTTAACACATTTCCTAAAATTTGTAATTCATTTAGAGTTACAGACTATCACTTTATATGGCCCTGCTCTGTCAAAGGGCATTAATAAAACATGCTCATTTCCAATACTTCTCTAACTGATTACAGTAGTTCAGAGATATTTGGATTTAAAAATGTGTTTTTACAGCCCCTAAATCTTATTATTGTTTTCATTTCGATGTCCCACCCTCCACCGTTTGACCAATCAAAAATGTCCGTGATCCGGTTTGCCAGAATTAACCACGTTGTGCTAATCTCACTGGTAAAGTATCATGTGGCCACAGAACTAAGAAAGGTCTCGATATGATTCTCAAATCATTAACAACAAAACAAGGAATATAACGAGGATTTCCATCGTTGTGAAAAAGGTGTTGGTTATAGATTTGTTGTTTACAAAACTCTTTATTCAGATATTATGGTCCCAGCTGGATTCATCTGCATATCTGGAAACCTGAGTCAGGGAGAATGCAGTACCACTTTTGGCCAGATTTTTACATACTGCTCCTTTAACTCAGACACTGAAAATGTTAAAGGACAACTCACCCTCAAATCCACTTTTTTTGCTGATAAACGATTTAAATGAGTGTCCAATAGTGTTGTCTACATATCCTGGTCATAATCTTGTCACTTTGGTGCAAATTAGTTGAAAGTTAAACTTTCTGCCTAAAACCGTCTGTGAGGCGCCATCTGCTGGCGACCTGTATTACTACATTTGAATTTTGAATCTGGCGCCAACACTGGCGCGGCAGCAAGACCTGACGTCTGAAGCAAGACCTGACGTCAGCAGCCCCCCGCCCAGAGCAATGTAAACGGCCCAGTCTCGTTCACGCCCCCTTTAGTCCTCCAGGCTACGCCCATTTAGAGGAAGATTTGAACAGGAAATGTGAGTGACGTAAGCTCCGAGGAGCGGGGGTGAGAACCACTTTAATGAATGTGCCGGATCATCACTGTCCTTAGATTTTTAAAAGCCAGAATTCTTGAATTGTTTGTGTTTCAGGTCGGAGGTGGAGAGACGTACACTATTGGGCTGCGCTTTGCCCCGAGCCAGCGTCCAGGAGCAGTGGAGATCCTGGTCTTTGTCAACGATCTGCAGGAGAAGACCGAGGAAGCCTTCTGTGTCAAAGCCCTGTACTCCTGAAACTCTCCCTTGTTCCCAACAACGCTCGTCTTTTGTGTCCTGTACGAATCAGAAATGTACGTTCTTTTAATTCTAGAAACGTTGACATGTGATATCTGACTCCACACAAGCATCTTCCTCACTCCAAACCCCTCAATTTTTACTCATTCTACAGCCAGCTTCCAATTCAATAAAGTTTCATTTGTTTATAGCCCAAAATCAAAACAGCAGTCGTCGCCGTTGTGTCAATTCCTCAACAACAGATCAAAGAATCAGAAAACTGTTGAAACACAGGAAATATAATAATAACTAACACATACAGTAGGAGCCATTGGTTATCACTGTTTGGTTATCACTGAACCTTACAAAAAATCAAAAAAGGGGGGAACCTTGTGAGAGGGATCCACTCCCACAGACGGACAGGCTGTAGATCAAGGACTGAGGCTGTAGATCAAGGACTAAGGCTGTAGATCCAAGACTGAGGCTGTAGAACCAGGACTGAGGCTCTAGATCCAGGACCGAGGCTCTAGATCCAGGACTAATCTTTCATTTCTTGTTAACAACGTTTAATAAAGTTTATATTGTTTGTATTCAGATTAACGTTGTTGTCGTTCCTTCTCGTCATTAACTTATTCATTTTGATCCGCTTTATTGGCGGGGGGCGCAATCAGTGCTGAACCCCAGTTTTCCAAACACCAGTAAGCAAGATTTATTTATATAGCGTGTTATACAGACCAAGGTCACCCAAAGCACATTACAATTGTTCAGAGTTGAAATAGTTATTCCATTCTCTCCACACGGTGATGATGGAAGCCACCAACACCATCCATCCAACACATTCATACCTATTGTGCATGTTTTTAGGGCTAGGGGAAACCTACACAAACACGGGGAGAACATGCAAACTCCACTCAGAAAGGCCCTGTTCCGACTGGAATTTGAACCCAGGACTTTCTTGCTGAGAAGCGAGTGTGCCATCCTCTCAGCCACTGTGCCACCTGAGAAACCAGCCCCTCACTGACCCTCCTGCAGGTGGTGGGTCCAGGGGAGGATGGTCTTTCAGTGAGGGCTTCAGACAGACTGTTATGTCTTGTCCAATGAGAGCAGACATCAGTGGGAGCAGGTGCGTACCCTGATGACCATCCAGGTGCCCATGCTGATGTCCTGTAATAAAATTGTATCGCTGGCCTCGTATTCTATCGCTCTGAACTCTATATGAACATGTTGCATCATTAATTTAGAAGTGAAACCAGTGGGCCTGTCGTCATCAGAAAAACCAGGGGGAGTCCAGGTCTCTCAGGTGACAGAGAATATCAGTGACTCAAATGTGTGTGTGTGAATGACAAGGAAAACCACACTGTCATGGTCACCAAAAGTCCTTGGTACACATGACTAACACTGAGTCTGAGTGCTCTGAGGGTGGGGTCTGGAGGAGAAGTGTATCTGCCTAAATCACAACGTATTTACAAAATGGTGAATTTCTCAACAACAGATCAGATAATAAAACAGTTCGAACCAGTGCGGGCGGGTCCCGTCTCAAAAGTGGCCGAAATGACGTGCGCTGACATGCTGCAATACCACCCCGGGCCGATGGGGGTGAACCCGGAATAAGAATTAGCCAATGCTAACATATAGCATTAGCTGAACTCTCGAAAACGTCTTTACAGGATGGACCAAAAGTTGGCTCTTGGCCCAAAGCTCCGTTCCACATGTGTGTCAATTCTGAGGGGGGTGAATTTTTTTGGACCACTCTAGTTTACTTGCTGTGAATTGAAATCTCTCGTTCAAATGAATGCAGTTTGCGCCAGCTGAGCTGACGCATGCGCAGATGCGTTTTTTCACAATTTTCTTGTGGGCGAGACCACTCGCTGCCATTTTGGATTGCTCCAGTAGAGCACTATTTTTGGCCATTAGTTAGAACGGCGGAGATAGGCGTGACTACGTCCGTTAATATTTACAGTTTATGGTTCGAACGCAGGTAATGCAATAATACTAAACATACAAGAGCCACTGGTCCATAGAAAGCAGGATGACCACTGTCCAGAAATGTTAAAACACGTCCAAAATTTCAGGCTGTAGATCCAGGACTGATTCTGTAGATCCAGGACTGAGGCTGTAAACCCAGGACTGAGGCTGTAGATCCAGGACTGAGGCTGTAGATCCAGTTCTGAGGCTGTAGACCCAGGACTGAAGCCGTAGATCCAGGACTGAGGCTGTAGATCCAGTTCTGAGGCTGTAGACCCAGGACTGAAGCCGTAGATCCAGGACTGAGGCTGTAGATCCAGGACTGAGGCTGTAGATCCAGTTCTGAGGCTGTAGATCCAGGACCGAGACTGTAGATTCAAGACTCAAGCGTTACATCCAGGACTGAGGCTATGCGGTGCAAGATGAGGCCCCCAGGCGAGGAGGGGGTGCAGCCCACTAGTCAGGGTGGGGGAAACCAGTTCCTCAGACCAAGTCACACATCATTTAAACTCAAGTTAAATAATATTAACCAGAGAATCTTAAAGATCAAGATGAGACCTTTATATAATTGTAAAGTCTCCAGGACGGCTATGTCCAAACTTAGGCCTACCTCGTTGAAAAGACCAGAGCTTCTGGAATATAGCCAATGACGTTATCCGTATACACTGAGATTTGTGTCAGTATATTCTCCAGGGGCTGCTGCAGGACAGACAGGCTGGGAGCCAAAACTCCACTTTGTACCTTTTTCAACATAGACTAAAATTAGAGCTTGTTTTATTATTTTCCAGGTAAAATGTCACTCGTCAGCAGACTCAGCACTAAGACTTGTTTCTATGCCACTCTTTATTCCTACTGCTCACAGAGAGAAGTAAATATCTAACAATATTCAACCGCTAGAAGACATCGATCACTTTTTAAATATTCCCCAGAATCAATTAATTAAACTGGCAGCAACCACTGTGTCCCTTTTTTTTTTCCCAGGAAATAATGAAATCCATCCAAACACATCCACAGAAAAGGCATTTAACCAAATACTGCATGAAGTAAAACCCATACCCATCGTCTATATTTTTCATCAAATAGAGTCTTGACCTGGTACACACTAATTATTCTGTGCTGTGTTCTGTTTGAAGGACCACGACACATGGATGACCACTTGTACTGGCAGCTCTGCACAAATTAAAATAAAATATAAAAATGCAAGTCCTCGTCACAAGTCGCGAAACACAAATTCTAATCTAGTGTTTGTGCCCGATCCCCGCATGGACGGACTGTTGTATTTGAAAAGTCAAGTAATGGCAGAGGTGGGAGTCCACACACACACACAAACGCAGACACACACAACCACCTATCTTACACACACACACGCACACAGCCACACACCCGCCCATCTCGGCGCCACTGTGAGGACCTTATGTAACTCAGCCCACGGACTCCCCGCTCAATGTAATGCAGCTGCAAATATGGATCTCCATGGCAACAGAAGCACCTAACCACCATGGATGCGCGGCTACCCCACTTTTTCAATTTGGTGTTTTTCCCCAAAGAGCGTTGTGTAAGCAGCAGTTTGCCACACAACCAGTCTTCCCACCTACAGTGATGCATTTCAGCGACAAAATTTGATTTGTTCTTATTGCCATGGTGGTTAGAAGCAAGGACTTGATGGAATACTTGTCAAAGCTTAACAAAACATTTATATTTTCATTTGGCAAAAGCAGTGCTCTGATTGGCTGAGCTTGGATCCACTGAAGCTCGACGCCGCCGCCTCACTGGAGCATAACTAAGGAAATGTGTTATTTTGGACTCAACCTTGAAAATAATTTATTACCACCGGTGAATTCCTCAACAACAGATCTCAGAATCACACAGTTCGACACAGGAAATGTAATAATAACAAATATGTAGGAGTCATTGGGAGTAGGGAGTGGATGGAAGGGTCCTCAAATGGCCCAAGTGATCATTGTCCTTAGACAGAAGGAGATGGCAAGAAACCAGGGGAAAAAACTCAGGAAGCGCATATTACAGAGGGATCCAGGACTGAGGCTGTAGATCCAGGACTGAGGCTGTAGATCCAGGACTGATGCTGTAGATCCAGGACTGATGCTGTAGATCCAGGACTGAGGCTGTAGATCCAGGACTGATGCTGTAGATCCAGGACTGAGGCTGTAGATCCAGGACTGAGGCTGTAGATCCAGGACTGAGGCTGTAGATCCAGGACTGAGGCTGTAGATCCAGGACTGAGGCTGTAGATCCAGGACTGAGGCTGTAGATCCAGGACTGAGGCTGTAGAACGAGAGGGGGAGGGGGGGGGCACAATTGTTTTGATTCTAGTTTACAAAATGAGTTAGGGCTAGATGACTAAGGGTGTATTCAGACCTGAAAAGTCCTTTGCTCCGCTTGCTTGATCCGAATCAAAAGCGGACCAAACTTTTTTCTTTTGCTCCGGTTCGTATTCAGACTGTCCTTTTTGCAAGTGAACTTTTTTATATAAACATATTGACACGTGTGACGATCGGCGCACCTATTGGACAGTGAGAGCTCACAGAGGATAGACGCGGAACCGGAGGAAAACATTGAGGGCTCGTATGTGCAGCATGTCTGCTCTGCCTCTGTTTGCTCTTTTTAGAGCAAAACCACCTTCAACATCAACAGCAGCTCATATGACGCAGGCGAAACACGTTGTTTTAAATATTGGAACAGCGTCGGAGAATGCGTGAGGAGAAAGCCGAAGGAGACTCTGTGCGCTCCGTGTCCTGTCCTGTCCCACACATGGATCTATGATAATAACGGCCCTGTTCAGCATTGTGGATAAACCATGGATCTATAATAACCACGGGACAAACAGACGCTGAGGATCAGGTAGGAACCAAAGAACACAATTCACTACATGATGCGGAATATTGCTCTTTGAGATGTGAGTCAAACAGTGTCAGGTTTTTAATAATGCAAATGGTTTGAAGATGCTGCCATTGACATCCCTGTATACTGTGAACAGTTTTAACTCCATAAGCCTGTTGCACAGCGTCTCCTCACTGCTCCGGGTCTGCACACGGCTC